TGTCCTGGCAGAGACACCCAGGCAGAGAGACAGCAGCAGTGGAACCAAAGGCACAAGATAGCAGCCTTACGACCCCATGGAGCAAGATAGCTGAGAACCATTGGGCAGGAAACTTGCTGGCAGAGTGGCATGCATGTAGGTGTATCTATCAGCAGCTAAAAGAGCTTTATAACACTTGCCTGAGCATGGCAGCAGCCAGCTTGAGAGAACAAGAGCCAGAGAAGCAATCATGAGGGCACAACAGAGGAGAGATTGTCTTGATTGAAGAATTGTATCTTGAGTGCATTCTTGAACCTGACTTGTAGCCTGTTACTTCCCTAATAAACCCTGTAATCATGAGTATTGTCTAGGAGTTCTGTGCAGCCATTGCAATGAATTATTGAACCCAGCAGAGAAGCAGTGAGTGCCGTGGGAGGCATGGTTGGTGTCAGAACCAGCAAAAAGATTGGAGGGTGGAGGCATGTCTTGCCTTACTGGAGTAAGCTTTGGGCTGTTTGTTGATAGTGACTCTGTTTCCCCCTCAGGAGGTTGGACAGGTCAAGAAATGCTGCCTCTTTGCCCTTTTAGCGGTTGGTGTCAGAAGTGAGATTTATTGCAATGGCTCCAGATTCGTGGAAGCATGGGACTTTGTAAGAGAAAGATGGAAGAGGGTCTGAAGTGAAACCTTTGATTCTTAAATGTTTACTTTTGTTGTTCTTACCTGTAATGGTGGAAAGGAATATAAGAGATAATTTTCTGTAGGTGAGAAGAGAAAGGCCTGAGGCAAGAGCCAGACTGATTAAAGGAGATAATTGATTGAGAGGCTAAGCCTTCTGGTTACACCCAGCCAGAGGCCCAAGGCCATAAGCATAGAATGGGAAGATTGTCAAGGTGAAGAGATGAAACTGGAATGTTTTAAAAAGGATTGTGTGTTTATCAGAATGTACTGTGGATATTGAATGTTCTATTTCCTAGTTGTATGTTAGAAATGAACATTGGGTATGGATAACAGAGACCATGTAAGTCCACCTTCAGCCAACACTTGATTGGATATGTTAAAAAGAGAACAGAATTTGCCCAGAAGAAACACAGGCTTTTGTTTCATTCCTTGTGTGCATAATATTGGTGGTTTAAAACCTGAGCCCCACCCAGAACTTTCAGAGTCAGGACATATGCATTTGAAAAGACATGGAGATCCACCCAGAACTACTGAGTGAACAGAAGATTTTCATTTGAAGGAAGAACCTGCAGAGATAGATAGATAGAGAGAGAGAGAGAGAGAGAGAGAGAGAGAAATAAAAAAAATGACCGGCTTTTTGAATTTTGAGCAAGTGGGTTGGCTTTGGTTACTTTGAAGCAGGAATGTCATGGCCCATGAGAGAAACCCCTTCCAAGGCTGGAAGTTAAAAGGAGCTGGTGAGTAGCAGGCTTGTATGCTGCTCATTTATGACCACCTGAGTCTACCTGATGAGTGGAAGTGGGAAAAGTGCAGCAGTAAAGAAACGGGCTGAGTTTGGCACTCTTTGACTTAGCCCACAGAGGCTAGGGATGAGAGGAAGTGGTCTAAAGTGTAAGGAGTTGTGTGGACTCCTGAGCCTATGGGCGTTGAACTAGACCCTGAGGGCTAGAGATGAGAGAGAGAAGGTGCTGACTGATCTGAAGTGAAGGAAGGAGTGTGACTCCCAAGCTTGCAACTGGTACCCATGACCCAGCTGGGTTAGCTAGGGTAGAGCTGACCAGAACCCAACAAAATGAAGAGGAAGATGTTTGACACTAAACTAGTGTTAAATTCCTACACAACACAATTCTGCATACTTTATTCCTTCAGTGGTCTCTTTCTTGTTTATGAGGGAAATATGACAAAGATACTGGAAATAGAAATATGCTTGTGGACTTGGTAGTTGAAAGATGGAACTTCCACTCCGATGGCTTCCATTGTCTCTGGGACTAATTAGAAGAATCATCCCTGTGTCAGTGTGTCACATGGTGGTGTCTTGCTTGTTGCTGTGAGGCTGGAAGCTCTGCCAGAAGCATTTCAGTATCAACAGGGTTGCCCAAGGTTGACAGCTTTCACCCGAGCTTCCATACTGAAACAGACTAGAAAGTAAGCCCTGGCAATCTACTTCCAAAAAGTAGCCAATAAAAGTCCTTTGCATCCAACAGGGTATTATCTGATGTAGTGCTGGAAGATGAGTCTCCTAGGTTAGAAACCACTCAGCAAACCCAGTCGTCACAACAACGGACTCCAGCATAAAAACAATTGTGAACATGGTGTAGGGCCAGACAACACTTTTTGTTGTACGTGAGGTCATTATGAGTTGAAGCAAACTTGATGGGAGCTAATAACCACAGATAGATGAAGTCTTTGGCTGAGATGTGTAAAGTCCTAGTCCTAGAAAGTTGAAGGAGAAGAAGAAGATATAGGATAAACAGTTCAGTGGCAGAACATGAAAATCATAGTAAGGAAACTCCCTAAGTATGTGTCCTGACAATAGTAAATCAGTTCTTTCATTCTCTGTTTTTTACATCTTTGATTTCTACTCTTTCCTAGGTATATAGCTTTGTCAGTTTTTAAGATATATATATATATATAT